GTATTCCTCAACCTTAATGATCCCAGGCCCAGGTACCTGGCAACTTGAAACCACCCCTATAGTTTAAAGACCAATGGAAATATTCAAATTAGGCAACGCTAAACTTTTTACTCTGCCAAGCTTTGCCTTTCTCATGGAAATCCCACTAAAGTCTCTGCCCTTGGCTTTCTCCTTGCTCCTGTATTCTGCCACCTTACCAAACCTGGTATTCCTCCCATGGCACTGCCAATATCCCTGATGAACATGGATGGCAAAAGTCCTCAACAAAATATTAACAAACCAAATTCAAAATACGTTAAAAGGATCATATTCTGTGATCAAGTGGGATTTATTCCAGGGATGCAGGCATGATTCAATATCTGTAAATCAATGTGATACACCGCATTAACAAAATGAAGAGTTAAAATTACATGGTCATCTCAACAGATGCAGAGAAAGCAGTTGACAAAATTCAGCATCCATTTATGACTAAAAACTCTGAACAAAGCAAGTATAGAGGGAATATACCTGAACATAATAAAGGCCATATATGACAAGCCCACAGCTAACATCAGTACCCAACAGTAAACACTGAAAGTTTTTCCTCTAATATGAGGAACAAGACAAGGATGCTCACTCTCACGTCTTTTTTTCAGCATAGTATTGGAAGTCTTAGCCAGAGCGATTAGGCAAGAAAAAGAAATAAAAGGCATTTAAATTGGAAAAGAAGAAGTAAAACTGTCACTATTTGCAGATGACATATTATATATACAAAACCCTAAACACTCCACCAAAAAACTATAAAACTCTTTTAAAAACAAAATTCAACTGAGTAAATTTTAAAGATCTTATTGGCTTTATTCAGTGACTCATGAATTGGGCAGCATCCCATCCAGCAGATAGAAAGGAGCTCTGGTAAGCTATTCAAAATCAAAGACTTGTATAGGCGGAAGGGAGCAAGATAAGGAAGTTATATTAGCAAAAAGCAGATTGATTGTGACAAGGTCACTTTCCTTTATCAGACAGGCCATCTGTCAGGCAGATTACCTCACTAGTGCTCACCAGGTAATTCCAGATTGACTGGTTTGAAATTCCATTCCTGGGAGAGGCTGAAACTGTAATTACATTACATATTAAGTCTCAGTTCAGTGGTGTGGGGCTTAGCATAAGTGACTCCATTTGGGGTCTGTTGTCCCTTTTTAACAGAACTAATAAACAAATTCAGTAAAGTTGCAGAATACAAAATCAATACACAAAAATCTGTTGTGTTTCTATACACTAACAACAAACTATCAGAGAAATTAAGAAAGCAATCCCATTTAGGATTCATCAAAAAAAAAAATACTTAGAAATAAAGTTAACCAAGCAGGTGAAAGAGCTGTACACCAAAAACTAGAAGACATTGATGAAAGAAACTGAAGAAGACACAATAAATGGAAAGATATTCCAAACTCATGGATTGGAAGAATTGATATTGTTAAAATGTCCATACTACCCAAAGCAATCTACAGATTCAATGCAATCCCTACCAGAATTGCAGTGGCATTTTTTCACAGAAATTGAATAAAGAATCTTAAATTTGTATAGAACCACAAAAGACCCCAAGTAGCCAATAGAATCTTGAGAAAGAAGAGCAAAGCTGGAGGCATCGCACTCCCTGATTTCAAATTATATCACAAAGCTGTAGTAATCAAAACAGTATGGTATTGGCATAAAAACAGACATAGAGATCAATGGAACAGAATAGAGAGCCCAGAAACACACCCATGCATTTATGGTCAATTATTTACAATAAAGGAGCCAAGGACATACAATGGGATAAAACGTAGTCTGTTCAATAAATGGTGTTGGGAAAACTGGACAGTTATATGCAAAAGAATGAAACTAGACCACTACATTATACCAAACAAAAATTAATTCAAAGTGGATTAAAGACTTGACTCTAAGACCTGAAACCATAACACTCCTATAAGAAAACATAGGCAATAAGCTTCTTGACATAGGTCTTGGCAATGATTTTTTGAATCTAGCACCAAAAGCAAAAGCAACAAAATCAAAAATAAACAAGTGGAACTACATCAAACTAAAAAGCTGCTGCACAGCAAAGGAAACCATCAACAAAATGAAAAGACAACCTACCAAATGAGAGAAATGTTTGGGAATCATGTATCAAATAAGGGGCTAATATTCAAAATATAGAAAAATCAGGGCTGGCCCCGTGGCTGAGTGGTTAAGTTCATGCGCTCTGCTGCAGGTGGCCCAGTGTTTCGTTGGTTCGAATCCTGGGCGCGGACATAGCACTGCTCATCAAACCACGCTGAGGCGGCGTCCCACATGCCACAACTAGAAGGACCCACAACGAAGAATATGCAACTATGTACCGGGGGGCTTTGGGGAGAAAAAGGAAAAAATAAAATCTTTATTAAAAAATATATAGAAAAATGTTATACAACTTAATAGCAAAAAAAAAATCTGATTAAAAAGGAGGCAGAAGATCTGAATAGACATTTTTCCAAGAAGACATACAAATGGCCGACAGATGAAAAGATGATCAACATCACTGATCATCAGGGAAATGCAAATCAAAACCACGATGAAATACTACCTCACACCTGTTGGAATGGCTATCATCAAAAAGACAAAGATTAAAAATGCTAGTGAGGACGTGGAGAAAAAGGAACCCTTATGCACTGCTGGAAATGTAAATTGGTGTAGCCACTATGGAAAATAATACGGAGGGTCTTCAAAATATTAAAAATAGAATTACCACATGACCCAGCAATTCCACTTCTGGGTATTTATCTGAAGAAAATGAAAACACCAACTTGAAAAGATGTACATCCCCCACCACGTTCACTGCAGCATTATTTACAACAGCCAAGACATGGAAACAACATAAGTGTCCATTGATGAATGAATGGATGAAGAAATTGTGCTGTAAATATATATATATAATGAAGAATGTTCAGCCATAAAGAAAAATGAAATCTTTCCATTTGTGACAACGTGACCTTGAGGGCATTATGCTAAGTGAAATAAGTCAGAGAAAGACAAATACCACATGATCCCTCTTATATGTGGAATCTGAAAAACAAAGACAAAACAAGCTTATAGATACAGAGAACATACTGGTGGCTGCCAGAGTCAGGGGGTGGAGGGGGTTGAAGAAATGGGTGAAGGAAGTTAAAAGGTAAAAATTTTTAAATCAATAATATATTTCAGTTTCTGTAGTTAATTAGATTGTATATCTGAAAGTTGTCAAGAGAGTAGATCTTAAAAGTTCTCATCACAGTAAAAAAATTCTAAGTTTGTGTGTTGATGGATGTTAACCAGACTTGTGGTGATTTCATATTGAATCATTATGTTGTACACCGAAACTAAAGTAATGTCAATTATATCTTAAAACAATTTAAAAATAGATGAAAAAAACTGTATCATGTAATAACTGTTGAAATGTAAAGTCTGTAGTCTATTAGAATTGTGCCAACGTCATTCTCCTGGTTTTCATATTGTATCACAATTATGTAAGATGTTGCCATTCAGGGAAGCTGGGTAAAGGGTACAAGAACCTCTTGGTACTAATTTTGCAACTGCCCAGGGATCTACAATTATTTCAAAATCAAAGGCTTTTTTTAAAAAAAAGAAAGAAAGAAAGAAAAGGTAACTGGTCCTATCAGTGGGAACAAACTTACTGTTCATAAATGGATTTTGCAAAGAATTATCCCAATAATTCATCCATAAAAATCCTAAGGCCCTGCATGTGTGTTTTTAATGGGAGAGGGGCAACGGGCGGGGAGCGCAGAAATGTTGGGGAGGAACCAACTGGGCAATTTTCTCTTCTCTTTAGTTTATATGATACACATGTTACAGGCTCTTAACATCAGCCCCCATATCAGTTCCCCCACATTGAAACCAGTGTATATGGGGTTAAAACTAAAACCCACCACCCCCTTTCCTGCTTCTCTAGCTCCACTCATACGTAAATACCTGTTTCTTTAAACTTTGACTCGAGCTTTACAACTAAATGGGAGTTACAAATTGTTAAAAGCCCAGGTGGCCTGATGTTGGAGGCACACTAAAGTTTAGCTAATCATGTGTCCTTGAGTTTGCCAGGAAAGCCGCTGTCTCAAGAGTATCAAGGAGCGGAGGCTTCCCAGACCTCAACTCCTCGACTCCCGGCGCTCGAAGCGCCTCAAACAGGAAGACGAGACAAGAGACAACGGCAAAGGACGCCCACCTGCCATCCTCCTATCTCCCCTGCCACCTCCCCCCCCCCCCCCCACCCCCGGCCCCAGCCCCGCCTTGCTGAAAGCAGCCTCTCAAGGCCAAACGCAGGCTGGTGGAAAAACACTGACCTGCACAAGCTACATGAGTCCCCTCCCTTACCCAAAACCCCAAATAAAAATCCCTACCCATTCTTCATCCGGGAGCTAGCAATTTTTGAGGCATGAGCCCTTGCTTTGCTCCCTGTGCCTGGCATAGTAAAAACCTTTCCTCTCCACTCAAGACTCTGTTCTCGTTATTTGGATTGGCATCGGGTTCAGAAACCGAACTTTCGGTTACACACAGACTGTGCGTGTCCAAGCAGCAAGCTGCACAATCTCTCAGGCAAGCGACAGGAGGAAATCCCGTCCCTTTCCACCCCTGGGGTCTGCGCCTCACTGCAGCCGCCGCCCCGCCAGTGCCTCGGCCTGAGGGACGACGGGCCCCGTCATTTCAGGAAAGCGCCCCGCGCCGCGCCCTGGGGCCTCGCGGGCCGCCCTCGCCCACCTCCCATGGGAGGGACGCTGCCGGGCGGCGCCGCCCGAGCATCGGCGGCCACCAGCCTCCCGCAGCTAGGCCGCCCGACGGTGCCGAGCGCGCGGCGCCGCCCCCACTCCGCCCCCTCCGCCCCCTCCGCCCCGGCGCGCTCACCGCCCCTGACCCCGCCGCCGCCACCGCCCCCTCCGACCCCGCCCCGCCCCCTTCTCCGCCCCGCCCCCCTCCTTCGCCGCGGCGGCCTCCCGGGGCCGCCCAGGGCCCCGCCCCCGCTGCGCAGGTGGCCGCTGAGCCCCACGCCGCGCCGGCCGGGGCGGACCTTGCGCCAGGGCGCTGCCCGCAGGGCTCCGGGGCCTGGAGGGATGACAGGGCCAGCCCCGGGGTGTGCAAGGGAGGCACGCGCGCCTCTCCCGACTGCGGGAGACAGGAGAGGACTGGTCGCTGGAGTCCGTGACCCTCTGTCTTCTCCCAGGGCCACAGAGGTGGTGGATGCTGTCAACCCTGGGTTTCTTCCTTGGTCCCAGATGCTACCTGTGTGACAACAGATGAAAACCCACATGGCGGAGCTCTGGGGGGCACTTAGGTAAGATGAATTTCCTGGGTGCGACTATCAGAAGAATCCAGCCACATTTCCTGAGCCAAAGCCATGATCCTGACCAGCCGTTTGCTGCTCGGCAGGTGCTGCCCTAAACCCCAAGAGCGCTGCGCGCACGTCCTGGGACTATCCGCTGCCGCTTTCCCGTTGGAGGCTTTAAAATCCTGTGATCAATAGAGCACTTGAGGGCCTCATGGGATTTACGGAATGTGTTTACAAGAATACTGAGGTCTAAACCTCTCTTAATTGTGTGCACTTAACCTCTGGCTGGGAACGGCCAGCTCTATTTCAGCAAAAATCTGGGAGTGAACAATGGAATCTCCATATTTTCCCATCATTACATGTTCTGGAACAATTTCTCTGACCAGGACTTCTCCACCCCAGAGCTATTGCTATATTGATGTGGAGGGCTGTCCCCTGCAGCGTCCGACGTTTAGCAGCATCCTAGGCCTCTCCACACTAGATACCAGGCAACTCCGTCTCTCTCGACTTGCTACAACCAAACATGTTTCCACACATTACCTTGGCAAGCAAACTGGTGCATATTTCCGGTGCAAAGGCTGCAGGCAATGAACTCTCAACTCTGATTTTCACCCTCACTTTTGAATTATAGTATCGTATGACAAAGAATTCTGGATGGACCGGTTCCCCCCGCCTCAGCACTTCCAGATGTCATTTCCTTCTGTTCTGGCCTCCACTGCTTCTGATCCTGGTCATTTACATCGTGTTTTTCGAATCTGTTCAGATGTCTTCTTCTTTCAACAGTGTTCGTAGGTGTGGTTTCCTTAGGTCTTGCTTGGGTTTGCTGAACTTCTCTTGGGATATATTCAGCCATCATTTCTTCAAATTCTTTGCCTGACACAGCAAATATTTTGCACTCTCCGTTCTCCCTCAATTACATGTTGGACCAACTGATATTTTCCAATAGATTACTAAATTCTTAATTTTATAGAAACTATTTTTATCTCTAATTTTCAATATGGATAACTGCTGTTGGAAAGCTCACAAACCCTTTCATCTATAATCTCTAATGTTATTAACCTCACCCAGTGATTTAAATTTCAGATATTCTATTTTTCAATTCTATAATTCCTTTTTGATTCATTTTTATCTTCTCTGCTGAGATTTCCCATATCTGTTCACTCATTTTTTTCTCCCCAAATTTAAACATAATAAAACTAGTAGTTTCAAAACCATGTCATTTCAACATCTGGGTCATTTCAGGAGCTTTTCTGTTGGCACTTTTTCCCCCTGATTTTGAGTCACGTTATTCTGCTTAACATGTCAGGTAATTACTGATTCATGCTGGACATTTTAGATGATATGTTGTAGAGATTCTAGATATAATAACTTCCTAAGGCTGCTGTAACAAATTACCAAAAACTTAACGGCTTAAAACAGAACTTTTTTCTAAAAACGAAGGTGTCAGCAGGGCCACACGCTCTCTAAAGACTCTATGAGAGTGCCCTTCCTTTCCTCTCCCAGCTTCTGGGGGACCCATGTTTCTTGCTTGTAGACACAGCACTCCAATTTCTGCATCCTGGTCTGTTTCTTAGTAGGATACTCTCATTGAATTTAGGGTGCAACCTAATCCAGTATTATCTCATCTCAATCCTTACCTTAATTACACCCGCGAAGATCCTATTTCCACTAAGGTCACTCTCTGAGGTTCCAGGTAGATGTGAACTTTAAGGAGACACTATTCAACCCACTACACTGGATTGTGCTGACTTCCATTATAGAATATTGAGTTTTGTTCAGGCAAGCAATTGAATTACCAGTCGACCCTTCTGGATCTGTCAGGCTTTGTTTATTCTTTTGTAGCACCATGTCTATTACGGTCTTGAACCTAATTCTACAGCATGGTCCTTTTACTAGGGAGCATTTCATAAAGATTTTCTGTAAGGAGTCAGATAATACATCTTCTAGGCTTTGTGAAGAAAGAGGCAAAATGATGGCTACTATATACACACAAGAGAAAAAGAATTTAAACCAAATTGTTATTCATGAAATTCTAAGTTTAAATATAACGAGTACAAGTTTATGTAATATGGATCTGAGAATGGAATTCCATGATTTAATTGGGGTTCAAAGTTACTGTATCCTATCATCAAAATCAATTGCAGAGGGCAATCGAGTGGCGGAGTGGTTGGGTGTGTGTTCTCCACTTCAGCAGCCTGGGGTTCATGGATTTGGATCCCAGGCACAGACCTACATACCATTCATCAAGACATACTGTGGCGGCATCCCACATACAAAATAGAGGAGTGGCACAGATATGAGTTCAGGGACAACCTTCCTCAACCAAAAAGAGGAGGATTGGCAACAGATGTTAGCTCAGGGCCAATATTCCTCACCAAAAAAAAAAGGAGATATCCACCAGTTAATGTTGATCTGTAATGATATTTTATGTATTTCATCTTTAAAAATGTCTTTCCCTGCAGATACTGCCAAACACTGAGTGTTGGCATATGACTAATTAAGCATATTTAGTGCTAGGAAGGCATTTACAGAATTCTGTTTGATTCTTCTCTAGATATTTGCCTCTCAACATGTCATTACATTGTAGAATAATCACTTCCAATTAAATTCCAAAATTTAACTAATTCTGAAGGAAATTTCCTTTACACTTGCATCAAAGTCCCAAAAAAATGCCACAGTTTGAGGTTGTAAAGCGTGGGAATGAAGATACTCCTTGTTTTCCATTTCCAACCACACAGGAGTGCACAGTGCCGCCTGACGTTCCTCGTGATTCAAACATTAGCTGCTGTTGATACGACTTCAGCACAGTGTAAGTTTCACATGTAAGTACGGTTTTGTCTAAGAACTTTAAGTTGAATCCTGAAAGATTGTCAAACGTGTAGCAAAAGCTAATTTCCAAAGGCATTCACAGTTCAGTAACAGTGCAGAGGCAGCTGTTCACATTCAGAACAAATTCAATGTTGACTATGAACTTGTAAAAATAAAATCACAATATTTACTGCTGCTAAGTCACTCACCTGCTCTGTGGTGGGTCAAGTCAGGCTACCACAGTAGTTTGGTATTAACAAGAGAAAAAGAATTTAAACAAAATTGTTATTCATGAAATTTCTAAGTTTAAATATAATAAACTAAAAAAGCTCATGGATCTCATGACAGTTAAGTCCATGAGAGCAAGTGAAGTTGTACTGTTCACACTATTCCTTAACACGAAATGAAAATATTTTCAGCAATGTTCCCTTTGACAAATAATACAATAAACAAGGTTTCTAAATGTCCAACTAAGCCTTTTTCTGCTCTACACACATTTTTACCATCAGTTGTAACACACATTAGCAGATTCCACTTCACGTTACAGTGAATAAGTGTTTTCACAACTTCTTTTAAAATATTCTCAAATGTATTTGTTCCAGACTGTTCATAAAGGTTAAATTCTTTACTCACTTCAAATGCAGCAGTGACACCTCGAAAAAACAGAGCAGTACTGGTTACAACTGTTGGCTCAGCAACAGCCAAGGAAAAACACTTAAATCATCTGCCTTTTTCTCTTAATTGACTATTAATGTTGCTCCAACTGTCCTCAACTCTTAAGGCCAAGTGTTCTCACCAAAAGGATAAGAATGTTGTTTTTTTCTGGACATAATCTTCAGCTGCTGCAATCAAACACAATCTAATTAACTCAACATTATCAAACAGCTTTCCTTGTTTGGCCAACAATCAAGCCATTGAAAACGGTTTGACAGCAGCCACATTTTCTTTTTTATTTTGTGAAGTAATTCTGTGATGAGATATTCTATTTAAAATTTTCTAACTGTTTCGGCAATTGCTTACATGTGAGATGGGAGAATTCTGAGGGCTTAGTATGATAATGCCTACATATACAGTACACTTTGGGCACATCTATAGAGTCACTATTTTCATTTCTAAAAGTGTTGACAACTAATTCAACAACAAAATCTACACTCTACTGTATTTTAAAAGTCCACTTTTATCTTCTTGTTTAGACAGGATATTCACTAGCAACTTTTTCAAACTTTGCAATATTGTCAAGTTATAATTATACCACTAGCAACTGTAACACTATGAGCAGCAGTGCAAAGCAATGAAAGTGTCCATGTTCAACTACTAAATTCTGCTGTTGTAGGACAAACACAACCAGAGACAACACGTAAGCAACTGAAGATAGCTGTTCCAAAACACTTTATTTAAAGATTTAAAAAGCTCTAAATTTTTATCATTTTCATGTGTAAAAAATATTAATTTGATTTTTTTCAATCATTTCAATATAAAAACCATTCTCAGCGTCTAAGTTGTATAAAAACAGGCAATGGGCTGGACTGGACCCATGAGCCAGTTTGTGCAGCCTTTGCTCTAGGATATAGTCTGTACTCCTGAGGCTTGATGTTCACCAGATGCTCAAGGTGCTCAGCAAGTGTTCTCAACAGTGGATGCCCAAGAATGCCTACATCTCTCAGCCCTGCATGTCTGCTGTCACCATTTAGCTCTCAGCCAGAGGGGAGGTGATGTCTGCTAAACCTCATGGAGTCTTGGCCTGCATAGATTCACCCCAACCCTTTGCCAAAGATTCATGTTTATTCATGGGCCCTAGCATGTTTGCCTGTATCCTTAAAACACACACACACAGTCGAGCTTCAACTGTGCTTGTTTGGGCGTCCTGAGGGATGTTGGTGCTAACCAGATACAGGCCACGTTTCATACACATATTTACAATTTTTTCTTTTACAAAGAACACTGCATATTTTAAAACAAGCCCCACTGATAAAGAACTTGAGGAGTCCACTTCATGTGTACAACAGCTCTTAAACATTATACTATATGCTGTCCCTACAGACATGTACACATGGCATGAAAATGCACCTATACAACTCACACGCACACACACCCAGAATGCAATTTTATACACGTGAACTCATTTCTTAAAAGACCAGTATTCACCTAAGTCACCTTCTCATATCATTCTGAGATGCACTTTTCTTAGCTCCACAGAGAATGGTGCCAACCCCAAGATCCACACCACTTGAGAGAGAAGAGCCTTTACCCTGAAGCTATCACCCTGCAGTGAGGAAGGCCACCAGCCAGAAAGGAGCTGCAGATCCCCCTGGGTCTGTCTCCGGAATACTCACAGGCACTGATGGCAGTCCCTGGAATCAGAGTCTGTACATGAGAACACAACTCTCAGTGGGGCTCAGGAGCCAACCCAGGCCCCTAAGCTGACCCCCACACTACTGACTCCTAAGATTGGCAGGATCACATACTGGAGTGGCTGTGAAATGGCACTGGAGGGCTGACCAGGATAGTCATAAGCTTCCTGGGGGGGGGGGGTCACTTCTGAGCAGCAGCTGAAAATTATAGGTAATAAATTAAACATTTTGAGTATTTGACGGAAGCCATACACTCTCTTCCTAGAAACATGCACATATAACATACCCATGAACTTCCGGCAGAGTGGGGCCCTGAGCAGCAGTTCTTGACAATTCTGAATCAGTAAAACAGTGACCATTTTGAAAAGCTAACAAAAGCCATGAATTCTCATGTTAGACATATGCAAAGACCCAGACAATTCCGCATGTATCTCAGCCAGCCAATGAACACTGCAAACCATCTGTGGGACTCAGATTAGGATCGGGCTAGAGGTGGCTCAGAATGTTTATTTCCTAGTTACCTGACACTGAAGACTATGTGCTCAGGATGGGAGGACAAGGCCCGAGGATACAGAGGAGCCTAAGCCTGAGAAAGCAGCAGGCAGTCACCTACCCTGGCAACGCTCCCTGGATCCTTTCCTTCTAGGTGGGTCATACAGCTGGGTTGCCTATCATTCTGGCTATCAGGTCAGAGATGGTTGTAGACTTAGAAACTTAGTCACCCAGTTAACTAAGCAGAGAGTGAAGTCAAAGAAGTATAATAATCATTGTTTAGTCATGTGCAGTTAGGCAAATAGCTGAGATCCAGTGTCATTCTGTCACACCACCAAACAGGTAAGCAAACTGTGACCTGTGGAGAGCACTGAAAAGATGAGAATGCTCTTCATCAAGTGCATCACTGCATGCAACAGTGCAAAAACCCTGTCAACAGACCTCTTTTGTGCCTGTGGTAGCGTGAAGAGCATGAAGCAGCACATATACAGAAAACCTAATTTCTCTAGGATCCCAGATGATCCTCCCATTTGTTGAAACAACAGTTCAGAGACAGTTAAGAAAGATCCATAAGGCAAGGAGCATTAATGTCTAGGGCTCAGACAACATTCTCTAGTGGATGAAGTGGTGTTGGGGAGTGTCCCCTGGACATGTGCCAGCAAAGAGGCCTGAGTCCCGTATCACTAGGACTGTGTCTTTGAGTTTCCCAAGAATGACTCTAAGACAGTTGACTGAGTTGGTTATACTTTGGGGGTACCTCACTGAGATGAAATTAAACGCTTTATCAGAATTTTAAATTATTTAAGGGGGCTTAAAATTCTAAATATTTTAAGGAACACTTAAAATTTGGGGGAAAAAATGAATAAAGAACTTCCTCTATAATGTAAACTATTACAAAGGCGAATTAAACATTATCATGATCAGAACAGGGAAAATAGTTTGGTAAAAGCAAAATGTTATCAGAAACACATAATAAAAGTATAGGAGCCAATTTCAATGAACTTCTGCTGGCTTATCTCAGATGATGTGAGTGTCAAAAAACCACCCCAGTTAAGGATTATAACCCACTAAAGGAATAATCTGAGTCTATACAGACATAAATTTCAAACTCTGGAGAAAGGAAAATCCTTCCACAGCAGGATAAGCACAGGAGCAATAACAGAACAAGAACAGAAAATGCTTTTGCAATTATAGTAATTGATTTGAGCAGTGATTAGAAATAAATGCTAAAAAATCAGCATTACTATTTGGGCAATTATTAGAAACAAATGTTAATAAAAGCTTTCGCCGGGTGAAAGCTTGAGGATTAAGAGGATATATGTATAGCCTGAATGTATCTCCTTACAAGGTATTAATATAAAAGGTAAAATAACTTTGTGAAAAAAATGAAAGATACCATGTTAGCCAAATAATCCAATTTAATATTATTAATGGGACCAATTAACAGCATGTGCTTCCTCGTATGATGTATTATGAAGTCCTCAACACTTCTATTGTGTTGCTACAAAAAGTTCATAACCTAACTGTAATCATAAAGAAACATCAAATTCTGTTATTTACGTAATTAATAATAAAGAAGAGTTGTGGTCAATAGCTAATGATCATTCAGGATGTTGTCAGAGGATCCTCCCATGTGACTTTTCTGATACATACCAGCTTGACACTTTTCAGAGGTCACATTCATAGCTTGTGTTAACTGAGGGATGTCTAGTATATGTCAGTTCATAGGTAGACCCAAACCTGTAACAGCTTAGCAAAGAACAAGATTTTTTCTTCCTTACAAGTCAGACTGTCACAGAGAAGGAAATTGTTTCACAGTAATTCTTGAACCCTGACTCCTTCCAGTGGTACTCTTCCATCTTCAGTGTAGCAACAAGGGACAGCAGAGAATATATAGAATGAAGATGTCTTCCGTGGGACTTGTTTTACCACCAACACCCACATTCCACTACCTAGAAGTTCGTGACTTTACCTAATTTGGATGAAAGCGGCTGGGAAATTTAGACTACTTGTGGGCCTAGAGACAAAGGAAATAGTTACTGCAGAATGTGCAGTATGTAAGATAGGGGTCTCTTTTAAATTGTATTACTCAAACACAGTATTTGTGGGTTGACTTCTGGAAGGATTTCCCAAATCCATTACCTTAAGATTTCTTTCATCTGGTCTATCTGGTCACTATGAGGTCTCTAATGCTCTATGCATTTTCTGCTGTACTGAGAAAAGTGGCTTTTGACTGAAATTATCACAAATCACATTCTAGATTTTCTTCACTATGTGTGAATTCTCTATTCAATGAGATTCAACCTTTGACAGAAAGCTTTCACATTTTCACAACTTTCTCAATGTTTCTCCAGTGGGAGTTTACTTAGGGTTGCGTTCATACAGAATATTTCCTATATTCATTACCTTTGCAGTCTTTCTTTCCCCAGAAAATTCTATGGTGTCCAGTAAGGAATAAACCTATCCTTAGTGGCTGAAAGACTGTCCACATACATTTCAAGGGTTTCCTTCCAGTGTAAGCCCTTGTTAAAGACTGAATGTTTGTCTTCCCCAAATGCATATGTTGAAACCTAATCCCAAATGTGCTGGTATTTAGAGGTGGGGCCTTTGGGAGGTGATTATGTCACGAGGGCAGGTCTCCCATGAACGGATTAGTGCCCTTATGAAAGAGCCTCCAAAGAGCTCCCTTCCTCCATGTGAGGACACAGCAAGAAGACGGCCATCTATGAACCACGAAGTTGACCCTCACCAGACACTGAATCTGCCAGTACCCTGATCTTGGACTTTCCAGGTTCCAGAACTGTGAGAAATGTGTTATTTAAGCCACAGTCTATGGTATTCCTGTTGTAACAGCCTGAACAGACTAAGACATTTCTCTTATGTTTAGTGAGGAACTTCCACATTCATTAGCTTAACAGAGTTTTAGTTCGTTCTCTGAGTTCTGCGATCTTTTCTTAGCCCTGACTTGTGGCTGAAAGTTTGCCTGCATTCATCATCTTCATAGTATCTCCCCTGTGAACCCTCTGATGTTCTCCAAGTTTTGATTTCTCACTGAACATACTCCAAGATCCCTGACATTTACAAGGCTGTTTACCTGTAAGCTGTCAGATTTAATGCAAGATTTGATGTATGGATGAAAGTATTTTCATATTTATTACATTCATATGTTTCATGTTTAATTCCCTGTGAGTTTTCTGATGTTTTGAGGTTTCACTTCTCGTGAAAATCTTCCCGACATCTATCACATTTATAAGGTTTCTCCTCTGTGTGATGAAAGCAAGCAATATGGCAACCCAAAATATGCCACTTTGGCTTAAGGATTATCTTGAGCTGAAAGCAACTGAAAAACAGTAGACACAGAAAAATCACTCCACCCTCCCCCATCTGTCGAAAGGCAGGGCGTAAATCCCCGCTTTGTGAAGTTTTCCCCATCCCATCTCCCAATATGAGAAAGAGGAGACAACTCCTATCATTGAAGATGGCACCAACTAATATCTGCATAAACAAATCTTACTGAAATAATCCTTATCTTCCATTGGTTCCCCACATACTTACCTTCTCAGAATTTACCACCTCTGGAAGCTCAAAACCCTTTTCCTCTGGCTAGTCACTTCTCTGCAAATGTATTTCCCTTTTGTTAAAACGGAATGAAGGCCTGGAGGTCTGACCACCTCTTTGGGGTTTTCATTTCATTTGGGTGAGGCCCCTCCATATTCACATGAAATAGATCTTTTTCTCCTGTTAATGTCTTTCAACTTGCATGGCATCAGCCACTAAACCTAAGAGAGCAGTGGAAAAAGTTGTTTTTCCTCCCCTTGGCTTTTTACATCCGACAACCCTCTGAAAATTTTCCCACATTACTACACTTATAGGATTTCTCCCCTTTGTGAGTCTTCTGTTTCAAAGGGTGAGACTCATTGCCAAAAATGTGATTCATTACACTATCCTGTGTGAATTGCCTCGTAAGTTTAGTTTGGAGAGTTAAATTGCAAAGGAAAGCTTTTCCACATTAGTTACATTCATAGGGTTTCTCCATTGTGTGAGTTTTCTGATGTTTTCTAAGGTCTGACTTCTGGCTGAAAGTTTTCCCACATTCATTACATTCATAGGGTTTCTCGCCTGTGTGACTTCTCTGATGTATTCTAAGGTGTGATATGTAAGTGAAAGCTCTCCCACATTCATTACATTCATAAGGCTTCTCCCCTGTGTGACTTCTCCAATGTATTCTCAAGATTGACTTCCAGAGGAAAGTTTTCCCACATTCAAGACATTCATAGGGTTTCTCGCCTGTGTGAATTCTCTGATGTCCTCTGAGGTGTGACATGTACGTGAAAGCTCGCCCACATTCATTACATTCATAGGGTTTCTCGCCTGTGTGACTTCTCTGATGTATTCCAAGGCTTGACTTCTGGCTGAAAGTTTTACCACACTCAT